CGTGTCTTCCCCAGGTTGTGTTGGCAGTGCTGGGCGTGTGCTCCGCCTCCCTCCAGCAGGCCTACAACTTAGGCCACAACTTCGTCCAGCCGAGGTACGTGTCCGACACCGCCGAAGTGGCTGCTGCTCGCGGCGCCTTCTTCAGGGCCTACCAGGATCAGCTGGCGACCATCGCCGCCCTCCGCTACGGCGCCCCCGCCGCCCACCACACCGCGGCAGCTGTGCACCAGAATGTACCATCTGTGCACCACAGTAGGCAGGCTGTGCATCAGAATGTAGCAGCTGTGCACCATAGTACGCCAGCTGTGCACCAGAATGTACCATCTGTGCACCCCAGTACGCCAGCTGTGCATCATAATGTAGCAGCTGTGCACCATAGTACGCCAGCTGTGCACCAGAATGCACCAGCTGTGCACCACAGTACACCAGCTGTGCACCACAGTACACCAGCTGTGCACCACAGTACCCAGCTGAGTACACACAGCTGTGCACCACAGTACACCAGCTGTGCACCCATAGCACCAGGGCCAACTGCGCACCAGAATGTACCAGCTGTGCACCAGAGAGTAGCAGCAGGGCACCAAAGCCTGCCATCTGGCCTCGGCCCGGTCCGCGACACCCCCGAAGTGTCAGCCGCCAGGGCCGAGTTCTTCCGCCTGTACAACCTGCAGGCGGCGGCAGCGGCCGCGGCGCCGGACCATCACCCTGCCCCCCTCCCCCCCTCCCCCTCCCGCTACTGAACCATCCCCAAACCCTCGAGCAGATGCAGCTTGAATTATAATATCTGACAATATTTACATTTAAGCCCATTTCAATAAAGGCAGCAATTCACTACATTTCTTTAAATAACATCCATAGAACGTGATGGACGAAAGTTTTTTTCCTGATCAGAATTAAATGCGTCAAGTAATGGCAATGATAATATCAATAATGATAATGATGATAATAATAAAATAATAATGATAATAATAATAATAATAATAATAATAATAATAATAATAATGGTAATGATAACGATAATAAAAATATATATTAAAATGATAATAATGATAATAATAATAATAATGGTAATGATAACGATAATAAAATATATATTGAAATTATAAAAGTAATAGTAAAAGTAGTAATGGCTATGCTGCCACTGATAAGAATAGTGATAGGAGAAAAGAGACAATTTAAAACGTAAAAAAAGTGCCAACACAACGGAAATAGGAACTTCCTATAACAAAAATATATTTAATATTATACGGTAGAAGAAAGAGCTGGAAAACAAAGAACAAAAATAAGATCGCAGAAACTCAAGAAAAAAGAAGAGGCAAAAAAAAAAGGACTATAATTTTTTTCTTCTTTGGAGAGAAATGTAGGCGCCATTTTGGAGAAGGTTAAACAAAAATAACCGTTAATACTATCAAGAAATGTTAAAATCTGGAGAACTGAAAAACAAAGTGTGTTTCAATGTTAAACTGTCAAAGGAAAAAAGAAATATTAAATGCTACACAACCTTGAAAAGACTTAATTATTATGTTTCATAAGTAGACATTATAATCCGCGTGCAATATTTAGCTTTCTGTCATGTTAAAACAAAGTTGTACGAATTGAAGAAATATTTCTTGTTTCTGAGGCAGGAGTGAAGTGAGAAAGTGTTCGAGGTTGACACATACATATATGCATATATAGAGATAGATTAGATATTATATAGATATATAGATATATACATGTGTGTGTATGTATGTATCTACACACATATATGTAGGTATGTATATAGGTCTATATATATATATGTGTGTGTGTGTGTGTGTGTGTGTGTGTGTCTGTGTTGTGTGTGTTGCGTGAGTGTGTAGGCATATGTGCATGAGTATGAAAGACAATTATTAATATACGAATAAATAACGCACATTTATATTTACATATATAAAAGTCATAAATATGTATGTATAAGCATGCACATTCATTTATTTTGCCCCGGTTTTACAGTTAAGTACCAGTGGCATTTCTCTCTAATATTCCAATCTTTCTGAAGGATAAACTAACAGAACATAATGATAATAATAATAATAATAAGATAAATAAACAGTTTTATAAATCTTTCGTTGTGTTGGCAGCCCAGGGCGTCCTCCGCCTCCCTCCAGCAGGCCTACAACCACGGCTACAAACGTACGGCTTGTGGCTGCCCTCCGCTACAGCGCCCCCGCCGCCCACTCGCCGCCCACTTCGCCCACTTCGCCGCCCACTTCGCCGCCCACTTCGCCGCCCACTTCGCCGCCCACTTCGCCGCCACTTCGCCGCCCACTTCCCGCCCACTTGCCGCCCACCACACTCACCTGCTGTGCACCACGGCGTCCCAGCTGGCTCCTTCGCCTGCCCCGTCGCCCACCAGGCCGCCCTCACCCACGACGCCCCTGAAGCAGGCAGCAGCAGCCGTGACGCCCGACCACCACGTTCTTCTCGACGACTACGGAATCAACTTGATCTGCAGGAAGATACAGTTGGTATTAGGATGTATGAAAATACTTGTTTTAAAACGCGCAATAATGATAATAATGATAATGATATAATAATAATAATAATAATAATAATAATGATAATAATAATATAATAATAATAATAATAAATAATAATATAATAATAAATAATAATAATAATAATAATAATAATAATAATGATAATAATAATAATGATAATGATAATATAAATATAATTAATAATAATAAAATGATAATAATAATATAATAATAATAATAATAATAATAATAATATATAACAATAATTTTCTACTAAATCCGACCTTGGCAGCATCAAATCCCTGCCCCCCCCCCCCATCACTGACCTTACACCCCCCCCCCCCCCAAGTTCTGCTTTGGCCCTCAGAGTTGCCATAAAGATTTAGTCATTCACGATCTTTCTTCCAACAAACCTTGCGGAACAGAAAAAAAAAAAAGTAAACTGGAACACTGAGAAAATACTATTATTTTATATATTATATATTTTTTTTAAGTTTCGGTCATAAAACGTGATTTTTCCACAGAATTCGGTTATTGTGTGTTTAGCAATTACTGGAGAGAAATAGTCTAATATCACTGTCGAAAAATAACCACTCTGGTACATGATATATTAGGAAGAAAAAAGATACATAAAAACTTTTTTTTTGTCCTTTCTTATTCTTATTCGTTTTTCTTTCTTTCTTTCTTTATTCTTATCGCTTTTCTTACCTTTATTTTTATTCCCTTCTTTTCTTTCTTTATTTATTCTTATTCGCTTTTTCTTACCGTATTTTATTCCCCTTTTTTTTCTTTCTTTCTTCTTTATTCTTATTCGCCTTTTCTTACCTTTATTTTTATTCCCCTTTTTTTCTTTCTTTCTTTCTTTATTCTTATTCGCTTTTTCTTACCTTTATTTTTATTCCCCTTTTTTCTTTCTTTATTCTTATTCGCTTTTTCTTACCTGTATTTTTATTCCCTTTTTTTCTTTCTTTATTCTTATTCGCTTTTTCTTACCTGTATTTTTATTCCCTTCTTTCTTTCTTTTCTATTCTTATTCGCTTTTCTTACCTGTATTTTATTCCCCTTTTTTCTTTCTTTCTTTCTTTATTCTTATTCGCCTTTTTCTTAACCTTTATTTTTATTCCCTTTTTCTTTCTTCTTTCTTTATTCTTATTCGCCTTTTCTTACCTGTATTTTTATTCCTTTTTTTTCTTTTCTTTTTTATTCTTATTCGCTTTCTTACTTATTTTTATTCCCCCTTTTTCTTCTTTCTTTCTTTTCTTATTCGCTTCTTACCTTTATTTTATCCTTTTTCTTACTTTTTATTCTTATTTTTTTTTTCTTACTTTTCCTTATTTTTATTCGCTTTTCTTACCTTTCTTACATTCATCTAATCTTTTTTTTTTTTCTTTTTTTTTTCTCATCTTACCTTTTTTCTGTTAAAGCGCAATTCTTCCTTTTATTTTCTTTCATTAACTTTCTTTCTTGTTCATGATTTCCTATGATTTGTCTTATCTTTCTTCTCCATCCTATCACTTTTTCCGCCGTTTATCTTTTTTTTCTCTATCCTATGGGTTTTATATTTCTTATAAACGCAAATACATGTACGTTACCTAATTAAACAATTAATATACAGACAATAAGCAATGTATCTCTATATATATGTATATATATATGTATATGTATATATGTATATATGTATATATATATATATATATATATATATATATATATATATATATATATATATATATATATTCATACTTTTTTTCTTTTTACAGTTTTCAAGATTTTATTATTTTTTACTTTTATTTGTTTTTTTATTTATTTTCTTTACTGCAGTGCGGTTCATGAGCTTTTATATATGACTTTTTTTATCATGCTTGAAAAATAAACCGCAAATCTAATAAAAGTAATAGAATAAGTAATAGATTTTCAAAAATATTGCCGCATGTCAGTTAGGTTTGACTCATTACCTTTTGTTATTACCCACATTTCCTAACTTTTACAACCCACTCCTGCTTAGATATTCTAACAATGACTTTTCTCAATAATATATATCGTCTTTGAATAGTAATGACTATCATATACACCGAATATTGACTTATGGTCTGACATTTTTTTGACGTATGCCTAATTCCTATCATTTCGTGATCAGTAAATCTAATTTATGCATTGTGGGTTTTTTTCTACCAATTCTCAATCTGGATAAAGTCTTGTCAGCCCTTATCATGAAGGAACATTTAGTGTCACAACTCTTTAATAAATCTTTTATATCAACTCTCAACAATAGAATCTCATATTCTTTTAGTCTAACACATAGGCACAACCACTGTGTCTAGTCAACCACTATATTACTAGGATTGCAATGGATTGTAATGGTTTATTGTGACAAATTGGAAGAAAAAAGTATATATGAAATTTGATAGCATAAATGTCAACTTTACGTTCTACAATTTTCTGTATTAGAGAAGTGAAATGCATACTGGAATATTCTTGTGAGAATTGGATTTATTTAGA